TAACAAAGAAGAGGATCAGGAATGTTTTCTATTTGCCTGCAAGAGGGAAGCTCTTTCCAAGCAGTTCTGTGTGAACTCTTTCCTTTTCATAATGAGCATATTTCAGAATACCAGTGGGGAGACAAAAAAACATTGGGTAGTTCTTGTGTTCCTATTTGGATCCGAATTCCATTGAAAGGAGACCCTGAAGTACATGATAATACCTGGCATCTTAATCTAATTGCAGCTCCATGGGTGTACTTGGTCTCCTTTATGATGTCTAAAGGCTCTTCCTGGATTCATTGCTCTCAGGACTTTATTCACGCTCAGTTTCCTCAGCTTTACTGACTATGGGAACAGAGAAGTATAGTCCTATGGAGTCTGGGTTTGGCTCTATCTGCCAGCAGATCAAGAAGAACCTGCTCATCAGCATGTCTGAGGACTCATCAGCCTGTTGCCTCCAAAATGGTATCTGGAGAAAGGAATACTGTGGTTTGGACACCAACTTCAGACTGTTACAGCTAGCTAGGCAAGCTCTAGGTGACTTGGCTTTTTGGTTGATTTTTTTCAAGGTTAACAAGACTGTATTAATTACTTTTTAGTGAACAGTAGTTTCAGTGGTTTTGCATTTCACTGGTCAGTATGTTTCCCAGCCTTCCCCAAGAGCTTTGTGGTGGTTGTGGTCTCAAAGAAACAATCCGTTCTGCAAAAGAAAAAAAAGAAAGTTCAGACACCTCCTAGCTGGAAAGCAAGACTTCTAGTTTATCTGAAATGTGCTTTAAACATGCAGATATAAGGCTAAGGGGAGGGACCCCAATGAATTTCAAAATGCACTGTTGTTACTGATTGCTGACCTACTGTTCTTCAGGCCTTTTTCTCTATAGACAACTTTCAAAAGCTTTAGAACTCGGGGGTTTTTGTGCAGTACGTTGCTACCTTGTGCAATAGTGTTTTAGCTATGACTCATAGTGTACTGAATATTTCCAAAATCAATATTTACCTGCAAGTCTTAATTCAAACCTGATGGCTTGAAGAGAGGGGAGAAAAGAGAGAAGAGAAAAAATCTTTCACATTTGTTTTTAATTTGTTTCCAGATACTTGGATTCCTAAGATCATAGACTATGGAGGAAAAAAAAAAGCTCCTAAACAGCTGAGCCCACCTTTAACAAAAGCCAGAACTTAGACCCAAGTTAAACATTAAACTGACTGATCTCACGCACAAAGACCTCCTTATGCTGATAATGCCCAAATCATGTTCACTTGATTTTGTGAACTAGAATAAAGAGGCTGCCTCCGATGATTTTCATAAGGTATGAAATCACTGAGAAGCTTTACAAGCCCATCCTGACACATCTAATAAGGCAGGATCTGTTTGGTTGTAGTGAGCCAAATATTCCCTATTGCAAGATTTTGTGTTAATTAGGCAACTGTTCAGGTTATATTCATGTGAATGTTCAAACATGTGCCTTTGTAGCCTGTTGGCTGAAAATACCTGAGGAGCACTTCAAATTTCTGTGTGGAGGTGGGTGTATATGAATGGGAGGGTTCTCAGCAGTGTTTTCTTAGTTCTTCTATTATTCTTTCCCCAATTATTTACCTGGTTTTGAACACTTGAAAACACTGTGCTTTGAAATGTTTTTCACGTGTCTAGAAATAGCAACCATTGTACACATTTTTTCACTTGTTTGTATGGAAAAGGAAAAGAAACATTAGGAATCGTGTTTGTGTAGTACATTACAAAGACTTGCAACAAACAGGTTTTGAAAACATCCTGGAAAGTTTCCATAATTACCTTAATATATGCCATAAAAATGAGCAGCGACCATAAAGAGCTGCTACAATAAGCCTGGCTAATACTGCATCCATAAGAATGCTTCAGAGCTTGCAAATATATAGCCCAGTCAGCTTAAAAAATAAAAGTGCATGCTATGCATATTGCAAAATAATGTGGTGTAGTAGTTTTAAAATAAGAAACACACATTTATTATTTCTGTGTCTTCCCACAAAAGGCTTTCTCATCAACTAGTTGGATGAAATAATATTCCATACCCTTAAATACCCCAGAAACAACTATTTTTTCCAAGCTGGTGTGCATCATCGCTGCATTTAATGGAATATTTTGTAATGAGGATAGAAGCTCTGCTTGCAGTTCAGAAACCAAACACAGACATTGACTTCAGCACACAGAGGAGGGGCTACAAGAATAATTTGCCAACAGAGGGAATTTCTTTATGTTTTTGGAGACAGCAAATCAGGCAGTGGGTGTTTGGGGGTGTTTCAGGTTGTGCCCTCTACCAGGAGGACTTATTATAGGGGTTAAGGATTTCTTTGATGCAGTTGTGTTTACTTCCAGGGTATGAATATGAGATCTGGTG